GGGGGGGGGGGGGGGGGGGGGGGAAGAAGTCTGACGACTGTAATTCAGACGGATTATACCCCCGAGACACGAGAAGAGGAGCCGAGTGCAGAAGAAGCGAGTGAGATATAGTTTGTTACCTAAATGAACGAGTATTCCCACCGAGAGGAGATGCCGTCATTCACCCAAAAGTTCAAAGACAGATTGCACGAGAGAAAACACTGAGTGAAAAATTTATAAAGTAAACTTTGGAAAATTTCTGGTTTTGCTTTTCAATTCTTTTTCTTTCACCCTTTTTCGTTCTTTTATTTTTTTTTGTCAACACGTTCACTCTGGCATCTAAATATTCAACATCCGGGGCGAGAGTCACCCTCTTGAGTCGGAGGACGTGAGAACTCGACGGGATTAAGGGATACGGTTGTGGGGGACCAGGGGGAAAATGATGTTATCTCGGAGTTTATACACATACCTGGGGGAATTTGTGTCAATTTTTTGTTTATCAATGTTGATAAAGTGAAAAGACATCGGGGAGAGAATTTGACGCGGTGAATACAATATGATGATGAGATTATCTCAGATAATTTATGAAATATTCGATGTCAAAATTTTGAAATATTTTTTCACGCTTTTGGGGAAATTGATGGGGTGAAATGGGTCTTCGTATTGAGTTTTTAACCAAAAATACTTTGTCTGTCCTCTTTCAATTTTTAATCATCTCATCTAAAAATCTAGATACTTCTGATATTTTATCTGAATGATTAATTAATTCAATACGCTAATTGACTATTCATTTTTTACGAAAACTGACAATTGAAAACGAAAGATGATTATCCAACAATCCAAGATAATTCGATAATTTAAAGATGCTTCATCTAATTATCTAAGATAACTGGGTAATTTTCAAGAAGATTGATATAATTAAAATTTTGAATTTTTTTTTCGAGTTTTCATATACGACAAAACTACACCGCCACCCCCTTCACTCATCTCATCTCAAAATAAGATGATATCTCAAATTTCATCTCAAATGACTTCAACATTTGGATTTCGCACTGATAACATCAATAATTCTCGCAACTGTCGTAATTGTCATGACGGAAAATTAACGACTCTGACATCGCCACTCTCACTCTGAGCCGATGATGTTCATAATTTATGATTTAACCTCTCAGTTGGCTATCGCGATAAGAATGAGAGAGTTTTACGAAGTGCCGTATAACGACACCTGCCATGGAAGTTAGAAACGACTGGAAAGCTCGTTCGTCTTTTGGGGGGGTATTCGGGGTGGGGTGGATGGGAGGATGGCGGTGCTCTTTGTAGCGTGCACTTAGCCATCCACCTACCACCCCCCCCCCNCCCCTCCCCCCGATTCGCCCTCAGCCACCCATACAACTTTATACACACTCGACATTCATGAGAAATCGATGAAAAACGAATTAGGGCTCCTGACGAGAGGAACACATACATAAAAAAAAAAGTGATAAAAAGGAGGACATCTTCTTTTTTCACCCATGCATAACCGAATTTTTTTGTCGATTTTCAGCTTGGCGACAGGCCGAACCCCGAGCTCAGGATCATAACCAGTGTGTTCAACAAGGTACAATACCGATGTAAGTACATTTTTTTTTTCAATTTGAAATGGAAAACTTTTTGAATTTCCAAACAATATAACGTTGTACTTAGCTGAGATAATTGTCGAGAAACCATAATCTAGTTATCTCAAATAATGTTTTAGATAACTGCTTTTTTATCTTACATACCGAGGTGGTTCAGGTTGAATGGTTGTCTAAACTAATTTTTGAGATACTGAAATCTTATTATCTCAGAAAATATCTAAGATAACGCCGTATTTTAGATAATTTCCCAGATGTTTCCGGTTGAATGTCGTTTTCCAATATTTTATGGAGTAAAATGGATCATCTTGATTTTTCAACCTGAAATTTCCAATTAAAATAATCCTTCTTTTCCATGAAAAATTGAAAATTCTCGCCTCTTCCTTCTCCTAATTAAACCCAAATATTAATTTAAAAAGAAAATTTTGTAAAGACAACCTCCCGCAAATTGCAATTTTTTTTTTGCTGAAGGACTGACACTAATTCGGTGGGTGTTACGTGTCCGAAAATGAAAAAACCCCTGATGGGAGAAAGGAAAGTGGTGTATGCGGATGCAGAGTGGGGGAAAGGATGGAGTCGTTGAAAAGAGGGTAGCAAAAATAAATAAAAAAGACGAGGGGGAAGGAGTCACTGGCGCAATTAGTGAGGGTCTTTCCAAAAGGTAGAGGATGCAACGTATTTTTTTTCACTCTTTTCTTCCTCTTCTCTTTTTCTTTTTTTTTTTTTAACGTCGTCCTCGGGTACTCTCTTTTGCCACCACGAGTGGCACATCAGATGAATACGCGCTTCACGCACCAGATAACTCGTGTAGCATATCCGGCGGATGTATAGGGGTTGAGGGTAAAAACCAGCAAGTGGCAGAGACGTTAAAAAGCATCCGGATAATAAATAAAATGGCCGGTGAGAGAAAGAGTAATGCAGCTGTGACAATATTCTACACAAAAATGTCATTAATCTAACTTGAGGTTTCACTTTATTTTATGAAAAGTTTTTTTTTGTTTGTTTTGTGCAAGGTACAGGGGAATGTGGAGCTAAAAACAACAGGAATTCATCTAATTATTTTAGATAATTTCCGAGATGATTAACTTTTCCCTTTTTCGAGTGAATAAAAGTGAATTTTTTTCTTTTTTTTTAGTTCTTGAAATTTTTTTCATTACATCATCTACAATTATCTGGTATCTAGATTGTCCATCAACGAACTAAATTAAATCAGATAATAGGAGTTTATATGCTACATCATGATCTTTTCATTGAATACCGAAAAAGATTTGATTTTTAATGTAATTATCGCATATAAGTATCGAGATAATTTTTTTTCTTCTTTCAAAAAATTAGACAATTGTATTCTTTTCCATTATTTCACCAGAACTTTATGCCCCTGACATTTTCACCACCTGTGTGAGATATTAAACCAGCTCTTAGGTAAATTGACCGTGTCGTAATAGCCCCCAGTGATAATAATGATGATAGAGATGATGTACAAAGATAATAATAGTAACAATAAAACCATCTCTCGTTGTCAGTGTCTCGTGGTATATAATCCGTTAGGGGTTAAAATCACAATTCGCAAGTGACGAGAGACACGGGAGAAGTACCCCGACACCCATTAGTGAAAGGGAAGGAGTAAAACAATTTAGAAAATGTCGAATGCTCACTTTCGAGCTGATGAAACACATTTGTTATTATCTTTTTATCTAGTAACTCCACTTATTGCGGTAAAATACCACAAAAATTATTTTATTTATTTTGACCTTTGTTACCCTGAATTTTGGAATCTTAATTTCGAGTGCTAAATTTTCATCACCAGAAGTCGATTTGGATTCTTATAATGCGAGATAACTAGATATTCAGATTGTTAATGAAAAGATAATGAATCTAATCATTGAAAACTAATTACGAAAAATATCGTGCAATAAATATTCGTTACGTTTGCCACTCGCACTCGGATTTCCCCGTTTATTTCACCTTTCAACCCCCAAGAGTGAAGGATGATGCAGTAAAAGGAGAGGTTGCGAGCCGGGTAAAGGGCGTAGAGATACGATAGGACAGCTTCAGACAAAATGACAAATAATAACGTGAGAGAACTCGACGACGGTGAAATATCAACTGACGACAGTGGAAGGGAAGGAGGGTGAGAGGGGAATGTGAAATGCAGGGGGATGAAAGAAAGATGCTCGCATGATTAATGAGACGCATTAACTTCGTTCTGGATGTGGAAAACAAATTGTAAATGAATTCTACTCTCTTCCGTGTAATTCCTGTAATTCACTCAGTTTCATAATTCTTCTTCTGTGATTTTTTTTTTCTATTTCATTTGCCTGTGCCTCGGTAAAATGAAAATTAAAAAAACAAAGATGAATGAATGAAAATATTTTCAGTTCATCTCAGATAATTTTCAAGATACTTGAATTCTACTTTTTTTCGGATCAATTAATTTTCAATTTCAATAATTGAATGGAGATTCTTTAATTTTTCAACAATTATCTCGTTATCTAGATAATAAGTTGATGAATTAGATTATCTCATCAGACTGCGAGTCTTCAAATTCGGTTGATCATTTTCTTCATTGAATATCCGGGGGACTTTAATCAGAGGAATTTTTAGCTAATACAACGCAATGTCATTATCTCAGATAATGTTTCAGATATCCACGTCTCAAGTTCGAGATCAAATCGGGCTTTTTCTCAAGTAGTGTTTTTTATCGGCAACCGTTAGCTCTTCGATAATGAAGCACTGAATGAATATCTATTGAAATTTGCTCAATTGTCTTTTCATCATCTCGTTATCTAGATTCTAAACGGACTGCGTCATATTATCGATATGATTTTACATATCATATCGATCATCTTCTCACTAAATACTCAAAAAAAATTCAAGAGTGATGAAAAAAAGACCACCATGTCATAAATTCAAACAAATTCCAAGCTTTCTACGTCATCTCAAATTTCAGATAAAAAAGTTTTTTCTCGTTTTCTCAAAAACTACCCGAGCTAAATAGATTCATAAGTAATGTTTTCAACCGAAAATTTTTCCACCAATCCACCAAAAGAACTTTCAACCCCCACCCCTCCCCCCAATTTCATCAACCCTCAAAAAACCGCCCCTTCAACAGCTAAAATCACCTCCGAACCATGTCTTCCCCTATTTACAAGAACCAAAGTAGATACCACATAACTACAGCAATAACTAGACAACTAGAAGTGATACCCGCGATACTCGATGGTGGAGGCCGGGGCCTGGTATGGTGGGGGGTGGGGTAGGGGGGGGGGAGAAATCCGAGAATACAGAGGTTGTATACTTAGGACATACGTGTGTACGTATCCTACATCCCTACGTACGTAGAAGTGAGTGAATGCAATGTACCTAACTTGAGTGAAACGAGTTAGGAATGGAAGGGGTGGTGGAGGGGGGAGTATAGGGGAGAGTTGAGACTGAAAACCTGCCTACAACTTGTGGTATACGCTACGTAGCCCATTTCAAGAGAGGTTTGGTTAGGTTGCAATGTCTACCCTTACGTTTCCGAATGTATTATGCACGTTTTGTGTGCTCTCGCCTCCCCTCCCCTCCCCCCTCTCCCACCGCCCACCTCCCCACCATTTTAACTTTCTTTCCCCCTATGTTTGTTTTTTTCGCTCTATCTCACTCTTTTATTACGACTTTTTTTCTCTCTCTCTCTCTCTCGTCTGTTTTTTTCGGTCTCTTTATGCAAGATTCTCGTGCGAATGTTTACGTATACCGAATGTATCGGTGAAGGGAAGGGAGGGGGGGGGGCTCATTCTTGAGGTTGAGGGATGTGTTTACCCGTGGAGTTTGTACAGAGCGGTGAAAGTTACTCGTGTATTATGTAAGATCACTCTGAGAGGTGGTATTTGTGCGGTGGGTAACGGTAAATAAGAAAAATGAAGGAGTTTTTGGAAGGGAAGTTTGAGGTTTGAGCTTGAATATGATCATCTCATAATCTCTGATATTTTTTTTAAATAATCTGAATTTGTAATTTTGCGGGTGTGAGGAGAGAGCAATTTTTTGAAAAAATATAACGATCTAGTTATCTTAAATAATTTTGAAGATAACTGAAGATAGTTGTAATCAGATCATCAAGATAATTATCTCAGATATTTTTCGAGATGATGCAAATAGACAAAAAAGAACATTTTTACGAGTTTTTGAGAGACCAAGGGGAGCAAAAGGAATCATAATATAGTGCTTTCAACCACCAATTTTCCTGGCCATTCACTGGAAACATCACCCACCCCGGGACATTTTTTTCTATAAAAAGAAGAGGGTGTTTTTTTTTTCCTTGAAGACAAGACTCATCAGAATGTAAACACATACATTTGTGTGATGGAACGAGCAAATGGATGGAGTGGGAGCACTCTAGACCCCTCAGTGGGCGGTCCCCTTTCCCCTAATGTACCAGGAAAATAGGAGAGGGGGGAGGAGGAGGAGGAGGAGAAACATGAGAGGGACACTTTTTACGAATTAAATAATACTTATTAATGCCGTGTGATTGCAGCACAAACGGCCTCAGTTGGTCATCTATCCCTGAGGGAATTGTTGCCAGAAACCGATGGCTACATGACCTACGAGGGTAGTACAACGCATCCTGGCTGTTGGGAAACAGCAGTATGGCTCATACTGAATAAACCGATATACATCAGCGCACAAGAGGTACAATATCAATATTTTACTAAGTAATTTTTTTTTTTTTCATCAATCTGTGTGAGGATTTCGACGGCGAATAGAACCCACCGCATGCAGTGAAAGATATTTTTTCAATTCATTTTTGTGGTTCTATTTACCTCATTTGTTTGTTTTTCATTTCTTCGGAAAGTACAGGAATTTTTTATTGATTAAAAAAATTGAAAATCTTTTGATATTGATAATTTTTTTTCAATAGATAGCCAGCGCAATTTCCGGTCCGGAACACTGGTCATAAACCCATTTTGCCTCATAAGTTCCTTTAAAACTTGAAGAAAAAAACACGATTTTACCTCGAAATTTTTATTTCAATTATCTCGGAAGCTACTTCAGATAATCAGATCGTCATATTGTGTTTTCAACCTCAAATTTCCCTGGCTCTGCATTGAAAATAATTTCATTTCAATGTGAATAATAGTTTTTAATTGAAATGTTTTTTTCTCAATTCTTTTCCCGATATTTCTAGATATCCAATTGAATTCTTATGGTTTCTCTTATTCAATTCATTGTACAGTTGTACGCACTCAGAAGACTGATGCAGGGTACAGAGAAAACACCAAAGGCACCGCTTGGTAATAACGCAAGACCACTTCAGGGTCTTCATCACAGGACTATACGTACAAACATTGATTTTCACAAACCACCAGATGCCAAATGTCCATCGATGAAACCCGATGCACGTTATAAAGGTATTTTCATAATTTTCATTGAATCTAATGATAAATTTACCATTTTTATTTGCCATAATAATTCAAAGTTTATCGAAATTGAAAAAGATGAATTTTTCTTTGCAGCTAACACGTGGAAGGATGGACCCCTTCCCCACAATGGTGTATGAGCCATTAATCAAAATCATTAATGAGAATTCACTGATTTTAACCGGTATATTTCTATAAGAATATTTTAAAATGATGAATTTATTCTAAATTAACGGTGAAAAAAACAATGCAATGCTATACAGTGCGAAAGAGTTGTGCTTTGTCGTGCATTTTTTTTATTTATTTATTCATTTTTTTCCAAGCGATGATGAACAGAAATGTATTGATGACATGTCACCAAGAGTTGAAGTTGTGAAATGAGAAGATGAGATTTTTTTTAATGAATTAAAACATTAAAAAGGATTTTTTTTATACCGGCGTGAAAAGTAATAATTTATGGCCGATTTCAAGGTCTTGAAAATTGCCTTTTACAGGCGTCGATGCCGTTTTCGCGCACATGAAAGTATATTTTACGGACTCGTACGGGAAATACAATTTTCGAGCCGTATATAGCGGCCGTAAAGTAGAATTTTTCACCACAGAAGTGTGAAAAAATATAGATTGCAAAAAATGACTCCATTCTTTTCCCTTCATTTTCCTTCAAATCTCCTTTCTCTCATCTTCTCATTTCACTAGAGAAAAAGAGACAAAAGTATGCATCCGTAAATTGAAAAAAAAAATCAATAATCGAGAGAGCTTTATGTGTTCCGATAAGATAATACTCGAAACATCTACGCAACAAGATTTTAAAAAAACTATCCAACAGCCAAACAAGAGTTTCTAAACAACCAGAAAAATCCGAATGAAACAGAACAAAATTGTTCGAGGAAAGAAAAAAAACTATTGACAAAAAATTGTCAATTATTTTGTAGAACAAGATAATATACAAAATTAAATACATGGATAAGTGAAGAACGTAATTAAATTCTCAAAACTGTCCTCTCGCGTGTCCCCCAGTGGTGCCCGAGAATTTTAAATCAAGTGTTTTCCCCGGTGGGCTTGCCCAGATGTTTTTTAATTGTTGACGTTGATTCGTCGGACGTGACTAATGAAACAACAGTTAAACGATTTAAACAATGAAGATGAAAAGAAGAATTCATTAATTTAGAGCAAGAGTGAATTAACGATTGGGATTTAAAAAAAACACAATAGAGTTTAGATGACAAATGGATGATTTATCCACTAAATTAAAAAATTGAATGAACAATTTTTTATGGAAATTCAAATTTTAATTTTGCAAAAAATGGAATTGTCGATTGATTTTGTACATTTTTTATGACAAAAAAATTCTAGTTGACTATTGGATAATTGTATTCCGTTGATCATTCAATTGAACAATTTCATGGATAAATATCCTGGGCTTTTGTATATAAATTCAAGTATAGGCAAAATGGATTAAAAGAAAAAAAAATCTAGTCTGAAAAAATGAAGAGTGTATAGAGAATAAAAATTGTATATTAATGAAACAAAAGGACTTTACCTGTATCGATTAACGATTGTGGTTAATGAATAATGGATAACAATAAACATAATGTTATATTGTATAATCTTATCTACATTTATTTAAACCCCTACTATTATATCTGTGTATGAATATAGTTTATTCATAGGCGGGGAAATTTTCACTTCAACATACTATTCAAACATACATTAAACCCATTTTGCCCCGTTAGTTTCGAAGAAAACTAAAAAACAGATTTCATTTTGAAAATTTCAATTAAAATATCTTGATTAGCATTGAGATAACGAGATAATCGGAATTAATATTCTCGTCCTAATCATCTGAGATAATCAAAGATGATGGAATCTGATCATCTCAGATGATTTGATAAAGATAATTATACCTAATCATCTCAGATAATTTTCAAGATATTCAAAATGTCAAGAAAAAATGGAGTATTTGAAAAACTATCTGAGATAATTAGATCGTCATATTCTGTGTTCAACCTCAAACGTCTCTGACTTTTCATTGAATATATATTTACATCACAATTCAGTTCAGTTTTGATCAAATTCAGTTTTCCAATATTTTCTTTGATTTCATGTTGAATTTTCACGACTTCCCACACATGATGGTCTGTTATCTCCTCATTAATGAATAATTGATAACGATAAACACGATGTGATATTGTTTAACCTAATCTCCATTCATCCCCGGTATTTACCCTCAGCGCGCCTTAGCGTCGAGTGAATTATTGAGTAAATGCGTCGTTAAACAACAGATAATTGTGTGCTGATAGTTTGGGAGCAAAAATACATTTTTTCAGATCCACAACAAAATATCTGAATGAATTTATTATTTATCAATGCTTCTGTTACGAAAAAACAATCAGAAAGTTATATCTCGAATTTAAATATTATTTGAGATAAGACGTTGGCTAAAAAAAATTTTATGAAATGTTAAAAAATTTCATCAAATATCCCCATTGTTAATGACTGAATACGTTATTGAAACATGGCCCACGTATTTATCCGGCTGAACTGAGGAAACGACTGGCGCAGAGAATCGGTTAATGCATCGATCGATTTTCCAAATGGAGGCTCTCACCGGTGTAACGTATAATTTTGGCTCTCTGTAGTGCCTTGCTAAAGGGGGTGGGCGATGATGTCACTACTTGGGTTAAGGTAATTCCTTACTCGCAAAATTATAGGGAATACGAGGGGGTTTTGGACGGCATGGTTAACGATATACCTTCTATTCCCCCCACCCCCTCACTCAAGTCTCTTGAAATCCACTTGCTGAATTATAGGATAGTTACAACGATGAGTATCACTGATGAGGTCTTCTTGTAATATATATGCACTTACCTGGAACAAAAGAAAATTCAAAAGATCACCAAAATTTGTGAAAACCACTATTTTAATAATTTATCAATTTATTCTAAATCAAAGTTTCAAAAATATATTTTTTATTACTAAAAAATTATCTCAGAATATTTTCAAAATACTTGACACTATTTTTTTCAACATTATCTGAAGTATCTGGCAATCTATCTGAGATAATGCGATTCAATTATCTCTATCACGTTATCTGAGATTACTATGTTCAATTATCTCCATTCAATATCTCAGATAATTTTCCAAATACTCCAAATTTTTTCTAGTTGGAAACGTTTTTCAAACCGGGTTAGGAAATTTGCCAGACAAACTAGGTAAAATAGCACATAATTGTGTTGTCAATCTAAAATATCTCTGCCTATCAAATCATCCTGGCCTTTCACAATTTTAAATTTCCAAAAATCAAAAAGAGCAATCTTCAAGTGACCAACCACTTGCTATTCAATACCTCACAACCCTCCAGCATTCTATAAGACCACAAGTACCTCAAGAACCTCCGGCCATCCACTCCATCCCACTCCCGTACCCTAAATACAAAACTCCAGGAATACCACCCCCCCCCCCCCCCCGCGGCCCCNGCGGCTCCGAAAAAAAATCACTGAAACGAGAAAATAAGTAGAAAATCGGCCTGTCATCCTGACAATCCGCTATACATCGTCAAGTGGACGGTTGAGCGCCCCTCGAAATCGCACCCTTAATTTACATGAAGGGCCATTTCTCCTCCCTCCCGCCGCACCCTCCTCTCTTTCTATTTCTGTCTGTCACTTGAACTCTCGAGAATACCATACTCAGTGTATGCAAACTTCTCTTTCTCCCCTTTTTCTCTTTTCTCTCTCCTTCCGACCTGACCCAACAACACTCCCCCCCCCCCCCCCCCCCCCCCCCC